GAGAAAGACGTCAGGCCGACGGACTGTTCCAGTCAAGATGACTCCAATGTTTCTGTTTTTATAAAATAGTAAAGATTAAATTTCTATATTGCGTTATAGAAACTGTTGCTTTTCCAGAGAACTAACTCAATTTCAAGTATCTTTTAGTTTTTTAATAATCTACTGTTTTATTTTTAAACAATATATAAAATAATTTTTATATTGACATTTAAATTTTGTTCCTGTTTTTGTAATTTTATATTGTTGATTTAATTTGTTTTGTTTACATTTTTTAAAACTTTATCATCTTAAATTTTATTAGTTTATGTAAGTAAAATTACTTGGAATAATTTTGTTGTGTTGTTTCCACTTATTAAAAAAAAAAGAAGATAAATAACAACAACAACAATAATAATAATAATAAAAGGGAAAAAAAGAAAATAGAATTTCATGTAATTCTATTTAAAATCTAATAAGTAAACTTATTCATAATTATCTCATTTCTATATAAATTTTTTTAAAAATTAGTTTGTTATACTACAGAATCATTAAATTAACTTTAATTATAAATTTATGACTTCATCAGACCTAATGGCTCGGATCTTTTCCAAGAAGTTTGTGATCATTATCATTAACTCGACGATTTTTACTTTATTTTCTCTTTTAAAATTTCCTGATTATTCTTCTGATGGCTGTTTTCATCTATCTTCTATCTCTTTTTAAGGACATACTTAACTTTTGATGGTTTTCTGTCGTATCCATTGTTGAACATAAGATTTACTTTAAATTATTTTAAATATATAATAAAACTAGGAAAACTTATGAAATATAAAGTTAACTATAAAGTACTCACAGCTTTATATTAATTTGTAAGAAATCAATTTTGAATTATTTCAAAAACTGATTTACCAATAAAACAATCTTATTGTAAATAGTTTAAATCCGTGAAGATGATAAAATTTCTCTTCTACTCTTAATAATTTAAATATTGATTATTCGTGTAAATCTCTTGATGTAAAGTTAAATCCTGTTTACGGTTTTGTATCTATCAGCAGGGACGTTAAAATAAATATTTTATAGAGTAACATCTGTAAATTTAATAAAGTATGGAATATTATCTTTAAAAATAATTTTTACATATTCGAATGATGATGATATCTTCTTCCTTATCAAGTAATAAAATTAAATATTGATGAAAGAATTCTTTCTACCTCTTTCCATTCGTTGTAAACTGGCAAATAGACTAAAAATCGATAGCAAACCAGCCTTTTCTCTTTAGAAATGAAAAAATAAAATAAATAAATAGTATATATAGAATTTTNATTAATATTAATATATACTGTACTATAAATTAAATTTATTTTATTGTTATAACTAATAGCCAAGGATAAAATAAAAAGTTTTAAATATAAACTTTTTTCTACTTGGTTGTTGCGCGAGGCCCCTCCAAGAGCGAGGCCCCGGGCGATTGCCCTGCTCGCCACCCCCTAAGGCCGCCACTGGCTATATGAATTTGACTCAACTGCATCAATAGCCTACTCAAGTTCTAAGTGTGATCGTAGAGAGGAAATTGAAAAATAAATAAATAAATAACAGATATTAGGCCTATTTAAAAATGGCCAGAGCTATTTCTATAGCGAGTCAGATAGACAATTACCTCAGCAGCCAAATGAGGAAGGGATACTAAAAAGGCGTCATAATGTTTTTAAAAATATAAATAGTAAATACACTTGCGATGTTTTTAGGCAAGCCTCAGAAATCAAAATTATTCCGAACGATCCGGAAAATAGTAAATGAAAATTACAAAAACATAAGTTAAATGTTTAGTACAGTGGGTGATCTGTTAACGAACAAATCGGATAACGAACACTTTCGCGAAAGATTTTTATGATCGGTGTTTTATGATTGTGTTTTGTTCAGTGAAGTGTTCGTTATCCGAATATATGTTCGGATAACGAACACTTCACTGAACAAACACAAGAAGCGACGTAAAATAACGAATACCGATTGGTCTTCCTTTGTCTTCAGGCAACAATTCGAAACTTTTCGAAGAGACGTCGACATCGACGTTCTACCCAGTATATACTGATCGGATAGTATTCCCCCGAACTTTGAAACTCTCCCTTGTAATTCCAGCCTTTTGTATTTCTGACAGAAACAATTCTTTTACGTTTTCTTCTGAAAATGCGGATTTATGTCGATATCTGCTATTAAAGATCTTTTGAAGAAGTAGGAAGATGTCACAACAACGGTCTTAAAATGGCATCCAAACCAAGATGAAATTAATAGGCCTAGGGATCTCTACAATTACAATGCTATTAATTACTTCTGAAAAATCATGAATAAGACAGAAAAGCAATCGACATTGGATAGATTCTTTAACCCCCACAAATAGAAAAAACATGACTAATAAAAACTCAAGACCGTGTATATATGTATTTTTATTATTACATATGAATAAACGTAGTAAAAAAGTATATACTTTTTTTATTTTTGAGGGTCTCCAGAACGAATTAATCAAATTCCTATAGAAACCTATGGTAAATCGATAATCGGTTAACGAAAAATTCGGATAGCGAACAAAGTCTTGGAACGGATTATGTTCGTTAACCGATCACCCACTGTATTTATCAAAATGAAACAAATTATATATAAACAACTTGAAGACTGTATAATTTATTAAGTATACAGTTTTCAAGTTGATGAAAAATCATAGAAGGTAAAAAGTAAAATTTAAGTAGGTTATTTTTATATTCAGACCATCGAGAGAGAGATTTTTCCTCAAGCCCGGAAAAAAACTTAGAGGGCCGTAATGGTTACTTATAAAATTAATGCTTTTACTAACAAAATAATATCTTTAAGACTGCTTTTTATTAATAAAGAAACATTAAGCATATTTCATTCATTTAAAATAATTATAGCTAAAGGGGCTTCCCCATACAAGAAGCTGTAGACAAGCCTGGGTATGATTACTGCATAATTGATATTTTGATACATCCGTTCAATAATTATATAAATGAATACTAAAAATTTTATATAAATATTCATTGAAACAATCAAGATTTATAATCCAATAAAGATCCATTAAAATATTCATATTAATTGACACTAATGAAGAAAGAATGGCTGTTAAAATATTTTGTCGTAAACATTATATATATTAATTTATTTTTGAACAATTTCAATACAGATTTTCCTTTTTCTTTTCTTTATTTTTTGCTATAAAAAGTGAAATTTGCATTTTTAGAGAGATCTCAGCTTAAAAACTTAATGAGTAATTAATTACAGTAATTAATGCTTAAAAACTTTTTAATGATAAACAAGTTTAATTGTTTAAATATAGCATATTGTATGAACAAACCAAAATAGATCTAACTATATAAATATTATAACAAAGCTAACAATGTTTAGCTGCTAATGCTAGGATATGTAGCAGTTGTTGTGCATGCAAACTTGCACTTCTTAGTTGCCTGCAAGTGTTATAAGAAGAGATAGGATTCTGTAGCAAAGCTTTCACTTGTCTCTGGATAGTGAACAAAGATGCTGTTACAGTTGTTTATGCTTGTATGCATGTCTCAAAATCATACAATCATCTCTCCTGTTGGTCTGTCTGCAGTATCTAGAGCCTGCTTGATGTGTATGTGTGTTGTAATGTTTTATGTGTGCATTGTATAGGCATGCCTGTTCAAAGAACACCAGGCTTGTCTGTACAATGCACACAAATGCACAGCTTTTTATTGGATTCATCATGGAGAATTTTAAGGCATTACCTGACATGTAATCTGACCATAATTGTAATGATTTTCTTATCAGTCTAAAATATAGTAATATATTGGGTTTTCAGTAATCAGACAGTTCTATATGGGTACATAACTTTATCTGTCAATGAGTGTACTTTATCTTTAAGCTTTCATTCTTATTGAATTGGTAAATTTTCATAAGTTTATATTATTATTACTTTTATGAAATTTATTTATATGTCTAATATATAAAATATTTATAACATTTATCAGCTATAAATATTCTATTCTTGAAAAGTTATCTTTTTAATTTAATAGATATAAATAATTTATTGAAATGAATGGTTGTTATTTCTACTATGGTACTATTTTTAATTAGGAAAAACAAGCATGACAATCACAACTGCTATTATTTGCTTCTTAATTTAAAATGCTGAGCTTTGTACTGTACATAAATAAACACAACTAAGAACAAGAGTGTTATTAATATTTGGCAGTTATATGTCTCTGATATCTCTTGTTTAAAGCTTCTAAAATTAGGAAATTCAGTAAAACCAGTTTTGTAGTCTGAATCATTTGTCCTTTTGTTTTACATATCATTTTTATTCTAATTAAACTTGTCTTAGATATGTGGACTACAAAAGAGACTATTGATTCTTTTAACTTTAAATGTTTTAAATAAAATGAATCAGAAAAATTTACTATAGAAATAACTGGTTTATGGTAAATAAGCATTTATGAAGGATGTCACTGTTTGATCCTTCAATGCTGTTTTTATTTTCATTATAAAAGTCATTTTTTTACATAACTTTTGTGGAACATTAAAAGTTCAAATATAAGAAATTTCCAATTTTACTAATTTTTTATCATTTGAGTATTCAATGAAAATTTTTAATAAATAAATTTCAAAATAAATATATGAGCATTTACTTATGCTCATATATTTATTTTGGCATTAAGTGCAATATTGTTGAGTTAGATATTTTATAAATTTTAATTCCAGCTTCTAAATATATTGTAAATATTTCAACGTTAAAGCATATATCTATGATATAGCTTTGAAGTTTCATAATATATTAAAAAAATAGAAAAATAAAATTTTAAGTTTTAAATGCATTTAATTGGATAAACTGAATAATTTCAAATGAAAATAACTTAAATATTATTTTAATTATATATGTAAATTAGAATTTATTCAATTAGAATTCTGGCTTTACAAAANAAAGATTAAAATAACCGTATCTAATGTATAATACTAATTTTATCTAACAAAACCCGAATTATTATTTAACCATGCAAAAATGCCAATGAAATCCTTTAAATGTTAATGAAAAATTTGTTATTTTATTTATTTTTTTAAGAATAATAACATTTTAGTCGGAATTTTAATATAAAAATGGGTTACTTTTGTATATATTTATAACTTTCTTCTTTAAAAATTACATCAAAATACAAAACTTCAAGCCATAGTTAGCGCTTATCTTCGATGACACGAAAAGATATAAACCACATAGAATCAGCAATAAATGGATATTAAAAGAAAATAGTACGGCTGTTAAAATATTTCGACCATTTTCATTCATAATAAAACTGTATAAAATATTGGGATGGAGATTACTCCTGAATTATACAGAAAAACCAGAATATAACACTTGGATCGATCCGTCTGAGAAAGACGTCAGGCCGACGGACTGTTCCAGTCAAGATGACTCCAATGTTTCTGTTTTTATAAAATAGTAAAGATTAAATTTCTATATTGCGTTATAGAAACTGTTGCTTTTCCAGAGAACTAACTCAATTTCAAGTATCTTTTAGTTTTTTAATAATCTACTGTTNGTATAAGCGAAAGTTTCCTTATTAATAGAGAATCGATATAGCCTAATAATAAAAAATTTATTAGAATTTTCAGATTGAATTTTTCAACTATTTATTATCGAAATTTAATAAATTTTTTGTAAATTTTTACAAATAAGAAAACAGAACGGTTAGAACGTTATAAACTATTATCGGAGATCTTTCACGCTCTAAATACACATCCGTAGAAAGTATGATGCGTTATCTTTATCATTTTATATGATTATGATTGATGGAACTGTAACAGTGAAGTAAAATCCTTCAAATTTGACTGATTATACTCATCTATCACAACCAGAAATATATTGAAGAGGTGATAAAATTACAGCTTTCTAAATGGATATTCGTAAAAAATTGAAGAAGAATAACATTAAGATACGAGTTACCTTATCAGATTGTTAGTAGATAAAAAAAAATTACTCCGTATTTTTTGCTTTGCTGCTTTTACTTAATATAATTTCTAGCACTCTAACTTTCGAACTTGTTTAATTATTTATCATTAAATTGGTAACAGAAGCATTAAGACTTTACAAATTTATAGAAGATCATTAAAGTAATCGATTAGAGTTCTGTTATTTAACTTCATCGGACATTTTCCTTTTTTAATTCAGAAAATGGCCTGAGAGATTAATCAGAAATAATCTCTCAGGTAGTATATCATTTGAAGAGAATCTATTATTTAATTAAAATTAAACTTCATAAAATTTGGATTGGACGATAGGATAAGGCAAAGCAACACATGGGAGATCTGCCCAAAGGAATGCCTCCCGAGAGGACTTTCTAACATCTACATGTCTAGCACTTAATTGGGAGCTCGAAAGACCCCCATTTAGGTGTTAGACACGTAAAGAAAACAAAAAACGCCATACCAGCCAGGTGATCGGGCTTGAATCCGCGACCCAACTATTTGTGCTCAGTGTGGTTTTAACCACTGGGTCACTAGTGGAAAAAATTAATATTAAACAAATACTTTTCTATTAACATATTAAATTATTATTATCAAGATACAATTTTCTCAATTAGGTATTCGTTTAGGTTTAGAATACCAGAAAATATAGAATGAAGAGAACTTCCCATCTAAAATCAAGTAAACACTTTTAGAAGTATGGCAATTATATAAATAATAAAAGTAAATGAACTGGTAGAACTCACTTTTATGGGAAATTTTTTGGTCACTTTGAAGTAATCTCTAACAGTCAAACACAAAGATTCTTTACCAAATCTCTTCATAAAATTCAAAATCTGTTTGATCAATTATTAATAATATTATATATTAATTATACAACAATGAAATAAATAA